GGGGGCAGGGGGCAGAAGCAAGCTTGCTCCTGCTGGCTGCTGCTGTACAGCAGGCTCCGCCGGCAGCCAAGCTTCCCCCTCCCCTGCCTCTTCCCCCAGGGTGCTGTGTGGAGCCCCGCCTCCTCTCCCTCCCTGCCGCTGATGGCCCTTGCAAGGGAGGGGAGAAGAGCAGCCCCAGCGCCCTTGCTGCTCAGACCAGTAAGGAGGTGGGGAAGAGAGGCAGGAGCAGGGACTTGGGGAAGGGGGGTAGGAGCGGGGCGTATCCCTCCAGCCTCCTGCCGTGAGCCGCTCAGGGCAGGGGGCTGGGAGCACCCCTGTGATCCCAGCCCCCCCCAGCCCCTGCCCTGACCTCTGCACCTCCCTTGTACCCCAGCCCCCTACATTCCCCCCAAGACCCCATCCCTGATTCCTGCACCCTCCACACATCCCCAGCCCCCTCACACCACATGCCCTGACTCTTGCACCTCCCACATCCCCACCCCTCACCTTGAGCACCAGGTTGGCAGTGGGCTGAGCGGGGCCGGCGGCTGGGACCCTAGCTGGCAAAGGGCCGGCAGCCAGAACCCCAGACCGGCAGTGGGCTGAGCCACTCAGCCCACTGCTGGTCTGGGGTGCCAGCCCCACTCAGCCCACTGCCAGTCTGGGGTCCCGGCCCCGACCCTGCTCAGCCCGCTGCCGGTCTGGGGTTCTGGCTGCTGGCCCGGGGTTCTGGCTGCCGGCCCCTTACCAGCTGGGGTCCCAGCTGCCGGCCCCACTCAGCCCGCTGCCAACCTGGGGTTCTGGCTGCCGGCCCCTTGCCAGCCAGGGTTCCGGCCGCAGGCCCCACTTAGCCTGCTGCCGGCCTAGGTGAACGGAACCCCAGGCTGGCAGCGGGCTGAGCGGGCCGGCGGCTTAAGATCAGCATTTTAATATAATTTTAAATGAAGCTTCTTAAACATTTTGAAAACCTTGTTTACTTTACATACAACAGTAGTTTAGTTATATTATATATAGACTTATAGAGAGAGACCTTCTAAAAAATGTTAAAATGTATTACCGGCACGCGAAACCTTAAATTAAAGTGAATAAATGAAGACTCGGCTCACCACTTCTGAAAGGTTGCCGACCCCTGATTAGGAGTAGGTGAGTTTCAGATCTGAAATTCAGGTACATGCCCGTCTCTATTTTAAAATTCCTGTGCATTTTGATCCATAAGAAGAATGACTGGAACAGAAGGAAACTAAACAGCACTACTTGTTCTATGACATTGGTATTTGGATAAACTATCCTTGTCCTACCTCACTGCTTTGGAAGGGATAGGGGGAGACTTAAAACACAACTGGAAAGTAGGTTTTTGTTTGGTCAATCATACCAATGACTAATTCAGAATAAAATAATTTAGAGAAATGAACAACTTACTGCCTACAAGTAGTTCAGCTACTTTCTTTGCGGAAAGATGGGTCGATTGGAATGAACTGACCCAATAAATAATAATATACATTTTATAATAACCATGTGAATATCTACTGTAACTCAATTCAACTCTGCTGAATTCCCTCATCTTTCATATTTCTCATTTCTTTTACTATTGATGTGAGAAAATAATTTGTATAGTCTACTATTCTGTTTATCTTTAATGATAAGTTAGCATTTATTATTATTATTATTTTGTTTAACAGTACCATATAGCGATTCCAAATGAGATTGGAGACCCAATGTGCTAAACAGTCTAAGCGACAGCCCCTGCCATTTAAATAGACAAGACAGAAAAGGGCAGGAGACAGGAAGTATTCTCTTTATTTTACAGCTGGAGAACTGGGCCACAGATATTTGCCTATGGCCACAGAGAATGTCTGCAGCAAAACTGACAATTAAACCTAGATCTCCTGAGTCCCAGTCCAATGCCTTAATTACAAAACCATTTTTTGTTTCTAAAAATAAGGTTAAGGGCATTTATGCTTTCTAGATACAGAGCAAAATATCCAAAAGCGCCAAAAGGTCGTAGAAGCCTATATCCCAAGCTCTTAGACCCAAATCCCAAAATGTACTTAGGCACCTAACTCCCATTGATTTCAGTGGGAGTTAGACATCCAAATACCTTTGAGGATCTGGGCCTAAGTCACTTTTATAAATGAAACTGAGGCTCCTAGGTCACTTAGGCACTTAAAAAATATATTACCTATAAATGGTTCCACTTTTGTCAGTGTGTTTGTCCACAGAAAGGAAAATGTATGCATACATAGGGGTTGAGGAGTTAAGCAGTTCAGTCTTGTGGCAGCCTTTCCAACAATGAACAGGGTCTTAGTCTGATATTCCCCAAATCTGACCTTATAAACAGAACTTTCAAGGAGCTTTGCACATCCCACAATATTGTCAAAAGTTTTCAACTACTCTAGGAGCCGGTGCTGGTGCATGTTGTGGTTGGTCCTCACACTGCTGCTTTTTCTTTCCCCACTTATAGGAAACGGGGGGTGGAAGAAGCAACCTTTTTTTTTTCATATTGAGGATTATATGGAACGAGCATAAATATTAGAACACGAACTGATTAAAAGGAAAAGCGAGTCCCTCTCCAGCAATTGGAATGTCAGGTCACCTTAGAGTCACAGCCTGTCCTGTTTCACCGCCTCCTCAGCTGTACCAGCAGCCACTGGTGGTGTCATTCCCACCTCCGCGTGCCTCAGCAGCCTGGCCGCTTGCCCAGGGAAGAGGGGATGTGTGTCTCTCTCTCCCACACTTGCACCCCCCAAGCAGACACTTCCGTCACACAACGCTCCCAGCCCCGAATCAATGGGGCGGCGCTGAGGTTCCCTCCCTACCCCACTGGCCATTCTAGTCACCAGCCAGTCACTGTCGGCAATAATCAGGTCACTTTAGCACTGGGACATTGCCCTCCCTGCTGGGAGGCGGGGGGATGGACGCTGTGCGGCGCCTGCAGGTGACCCCTGGCCCTGCCCCCTCCGCCTGTGCTGAGGCTGCAGGGAGAGGGGCTGGCAGGGCAGCGTTTCCCGATCTCGCTGCTCCAGTCCAGAGATCCTTAACGGGTTTTCCCTCCCTCTCCCTCTTTCTCTCTTTTCCTCTCTTTCCCCTTCCTCTGCTCCCCCTCCCCCTCCTCTGTGTGTGCGCCTCTTCCTCTTCCCTCCCTCCTTCTCCTCTTTCCCACCCCACCTCTCTCTCCTTTCTCCCTCATCAGCTCGCCGGGCGACCCTGCTCACCGTACCCACATTAATGGCGGCATCTTCGGAGGAGGAGATAGACCGGAGACCCATCAGGAGAGTCAGGTCCAAGAGTGACACCCCTTACCTCGCAGAGGCCAGGATCTCCTTCAATCTTGGGAGAGGTAAGAGCGACCCCTCTCCCTGTCCATCCCCCCCGGTGCACACACACAGACACACGCCCCAATGCTCATCCCTTCCCTGCCACCCACCCCTTCCCATCCTCAGGCTGCTGCTGCTGCTGCACTCCACTCTGCCTCTTTGTGTCTGCTGGGTGCAGGGCGCTGCTGAAGGTATGTGAAACCCTGACATGTCACGGTCACACAAGCATTTCTCCCCTCCCTTCGCTCCCCAGCCGTAAGACACTGGTGCAATACAAAATGAACTGGCAGGAGGGGGCAGCATGGATGGGCAGGAGGGGAGGACTAAGACGTGGTGGTGGCAGCGTTCAGTTCCTGTCATGGAGTAAGCAAGCAGTGGAGTAATTTCCCCCTCAAAGTTTTTTTTTTGGGGGGGGGGAAGAGACCTACACAGTACCACAATCACCCCTAATATATCTTTCCTCATTTATCTCCCATCTTCCCCCATAAGGGTCTAGATACCTAACTCTCCCCAGACATCCCCTCCATCTATCCTCCTCCCAGCTTTCTAGGATGTCCTCTCTTTTCACACCTCATTCTTTCCCCAGACTTTTCATTCTCTTTTCCCTTTCCCCCAAAGACCTTATTCCCCCCCCCCCATTTCCTCAAACCCATCCCTTTTCCTCTATGCCCCTTATTCTCCTTCCAAACCTCTCACTTGGCCCCTCAAACCACTTAGTCTCCCTATCCTCTGCCCCCAAACTACTCTCCCCCCAAAAGCCATCTCCTCTTTCGCTACCAAATAGCCCTACATCCCTCATTCTTTCTTCCTTTCCTTTCCCCAAACATTCCTCCTCCTATTACCATGCTCCTCCTTCCCCATCTGTCCTCCAACCCCCTTTACTCCCAAATCCCCACTTCCTCTTCCCTGTCCCCAACACCTATTTCCCTCCTCCCAAATTTCCTTCTCACCTCCCTCTCCCTGCAAACTCTCTTTCTCCCTTTCCTCTCCCCTTCCCTCAAGCCTCTAATTCTCTTTCTGTCCTCTCCAATAAGACTCTCTCTCCCCCCAGCCCTACATCTCTCTCTCTCTCTGCAGACTCTTCATTCTATTCTTCCTTTCCTCAACTCCTAGAATCCCTCCCTTTCTCATAGCCCATCATTCTTGTCCCTCCCCGTCAAACTACTCTTCCTTCCTCCTTCTCACCAGTCTCCTCTTCTGCCCAAATTCATTCATTCCTCCCCTGAAATCACCCCCATTGTTCCACTTGTAATTCCTCCAGTCTTTCCTCCCATGCCTCTGTCCCCAAGATTAGTCTGAAACTTACACCTATATCCTTCCCACTCTCTCTGCCCCATGAGATCCCATGTTCTCTCACAGTAACCCTGACATTCCCTCTCTCTCTGCCCCTCAATGTGTCACAACCTTCCTATTTGCTCCACCTTTCCCAGGTCTTCTCTCATCCCTCCAGCTCCCCAAATTCACCCCTCTTCTTTCTGCTTCCGTCCCTTATCTCTCCCCTCCACCCCCGCCACATAGACACTGCGCCCAGAGCTGCCCTCCAGCTCCTCTTTCACCTCTCTTCTTTCTGTCTCCCTGTCCTCGAGGTCCTCCAACATGATGCCTGTTCCCTCCCAGATCCCCTTTCACGTTACTCCTGCCATCCTCAAGGTCCTTTCCCACCAGGCCTGTACCCCTCCTCTCTCCATTGGGCCATTCCCCTCTTGAGGGTCTCCTGCCCATGGTGATCCTCCCTTTACCTGCCCTCAAAAGTGAGGAAACGAGAAGACAGTTGCTCCTGGGTGGTTACTCAGTTTCCTCCATACCAGACCACCAGGCTCCCCTTGCATAGGAGGGGGGGAATTGAGATAACTTTAGAGAGGAGTCTCAGCTGCAGTCTCCTGACTTTCCCACCAGGGTACACTGAAGTAACCCTACTGGCAGGATCCTACAATGCAACTCCCTTTTTCAGCAGAGCCCCTCAATTCAACAGCTCACTGTGGGAAGAGAGTTTGACTGAGAGCTCCTGCTTGCTATGTTGCAGTCTCTCTCCCTTCCCCCTCAACAGGTTGCAAATTGGAGGTGATAAAGATGTAGTTGTTTTCTCCTCCAGACTGAAAGTTGGTGCGGGACAGATTCATCCCCTTGGTAACTAGTAATATGCAGGTTGTGTTTACCATTGACTGTGACTGGTTGATTATGTTGTTCACAGTCTGATTATCCCTTTCTGGTCATGATTAGTTTTTTTAAAATTATTGAATAAAGCTTTAGTTTGGCTGGGTGGCATTTCAAGGCAGGAGTTAGAAAGTGATGCCAGTAGGTGGTATTGATTTTAAGGAACTGAAAGTGAAAACAGACAAGACGTAGGGGTGTGGGGAGGGGACTAGCAGACATTACTACAGCAAGTCCTGGAAGGTCAGGTAGAATGCTGCTCTTTCTTTCTTTCTTTCTTTCTTCCTTTCTTCTGTAATTCCTATGAAAATTGGATAAGTACATTTAGTTTCCCTTTTAATTTGTGTGTTTTAAAGCTCCATTTCTAACCTCTGAGGAATGGACTTCCTTTAAAGGGAATAATTCAAAGAAGTAGCACTGGAAAGATTTGTGAAGAAACAGAATAAAACTGTTTAAAGCAGTGCGAGTGGATGTTTTCATTAATCCATCTGGCACTGGGTGGTTTGAGTTTAAAAAAAAAATTGCTTAGCAACCCGTGTTTAAGTTAGTGAGCTAACTCAGTGAAATATGCCAGTGATATCCGCTCCATTGTTGAGCTTTTGGTTTTATTTTTGTGACTGTTTTCCAAGAATGCATAAACCAAGGCCCCTTAATTTCAGAAGGACCCGTATTCCAAAGAACCAGTTTTATTTTAAAGATGGTTAAACTTCTTCTAGATCTGATTATGTTATATGGTGTAGGGTTAGGTTTTGAAAACCTCTTGTTTATAAGGAATGGTGTGTTTGTATATTTTTAAGGTTCATATAATTGTTTGTGGCAAAAAGTATTTCTGAACTTGTCTGCTGAATTTTAGGGTTAGCAAACAAACCTTGTGTATATTTTATTAAGAATTACTTTGAATATTTTATATTTTTAGGAAGTATTGATACAATAGTTATCCCTTAAGTTATTGTATGTGTAGCTTTCATGAAACAGTTAAAGGTGCAATTAAACTAGAACACTTAATTCATAGCTGGCCCCCCTCAACGAACCTTTACTTTGTATACTTATTGCTTATTCAGGGTAAGAGCTGTGCTCTCTGGTATTCAAATGGTATTCACTGCAGAAAGTAGAAGCACTTACTGTATGTTGGATGAAGCCCATTTGGAATCTATCTGGAAATAGATTCCCCATTCTGTATCTCTCCTCTTTATGTGTCCATTGCTAGTACTATTTCTTAATTGTGAAACTACCAGATATTACTTTTTTCTTATTTCAAATTTAATTACTGCACTGGTGTAGAGCTGAGAGGTTTAGGGTCAGGGAAAGACTCCGGAGCACATATGAACACGAGGAGCTGTTCATTCCAGGTGGTGCTGAATAGAGTGTCTGTATGCTACCAAGAAAAATGGACTCTAATAATTCATTGTTTAAAGTAACTCTCTCTCTCTCTCTGTGATGTGTTTTCCTCTATGTCGATGTGTGTAAGCTGTGTGTTTCTGTGCAAGTGCATATATAACTGTGTCTGTGTACATGGAGAGGGGAAGCGAGGTGGAAATGAGGAAGGAATGTCATTTCCCCTACTCAGTGATTCAGTCAGGACTAAAGTGATGCTTAGGGCACAGGAAATATCCCCTTCCCTACACACCTACGGGTTACCTCCCATTTAATGCATTTCATGTGTACACTCCTGCTGCTCAAACACAGCCTATAGTGTTTTTCCTGCCAGCTGCTACAAGCAGGGTTGCATCCCCTTTTGATCCGGTCATTGTCTTGTTCCAGGATACTCGCTGGGATAGGATGCAGCGTGCTGTTGCTTTGCTTTATTTGAACTTTAAATCCATTATTATTATTATCTATATGCAGATGGAGTTAGTGCTACACTTCTCCACCCTTAAATTTAATGGCAACCACTAGTTAACAGCAGTCTTATTTATCTACTTCAGCTGCAAGTTATAATTATACCATTACTGCTATCTGTATTGTTGCCAGATTGCACACACACAGTCAATTACATAATTTGGGTAGAGCAAGGAGTTGGTATGTTTCTCAAAAACAATTTATAAACAATTAATCAAGACAAACTTTATCTGCCCCTCCAATCAGATTATATTCATAGTTTATTTTTCATATTACTTTCATTAATTAGTTTTCAAACAAATATTTGTTTATGATGTTTGTTTCCAAATACTGATCAATTGTAGTATTATAAATATTCCCTACTGTGAAATTCCAAATGCTGTTCAATTAATATACTCTATCATATATCTTATTCAAGCCTTCTTGGACTGATTAAAAAGAAACAAAGTTGTTTTCCAAACTAAGAGGACTATTCTCCCTACTGATGTACACATGCCAATCCTAGTAATCTCAGTTATATGCTCATATCAAGAGGATAATATTTCTCAAAGGACTTCAATTGCCTCTTCTGCATCAATGAATGTAGCTACGGAACATTATAAAACTATAGACTGATATAAAATGCTTTTTTGCTTATCTGATACTGTATCAGTCCATGTGCAAATAAATGCTATATCTGAAAACTAAATGTGCTTACACAAGGACCTCAGCTCCACACCACAAGAATGTGTTCTCACTTTATTTTTTGAAAACTATAAAGGGCCTAATTTTTTAAAATTATAGTGATTTAGGTGCATCAATTTCTGGGTGCCCAACCTGAGATACTTTAAAGGGGTGCAAGTTCTCAGCATCTGCCCTCTGAAAATCAGGCCCTTTTGAAGGTCTCCATTTGGGCATCCAAAAATTAAGGGACATAAAATCACTGCTTCTGAAAACTTATGCCTACATTTGTTAAGACTGGCTAATGACATAAAGTATCTCTTCCCCTCATTCCTATGCCATCCCTAGAACATCTCCAATTTTCACCCTACAT